TGCTTGCATCTGAAGGTCGCGCCACTTCGTCAGACGTCGAAGGGTTGTTCACAGTTGGCTCGCGTTGTACCAGTGTAGTGCGATTCCCATCCCTATTAGGAAACCCTCGACCCGGTTTCTTGGCACTTGCTTTGGAAGACCGACCCCGCCCATCAAATCTGTTGTAGTACAGCTGTTGCAGCGTGGCTCGATCCAGTACCAACTTGTATAGCAGTTGATCACTCGACTTGACGTTTTTATACTTGAGCTGCTTCAGCATTCCCTGGATCTCTTCCTTCAGCATTAGTGGTTGGAGGTTCTCCACCAGTATTTTGTTCCACTCCTTCATGCGATCTGTATAGTCTAGGTTCCCTGTCCGACCACGACCCAGATTCTCTTGAAACCCAATCTATTCAACTATTTGCTCGAATAGCATATAGTATTTGGATACACGACCGGGAACATCTCCAATAGAAAGATTCATTTTCAATTGATTGTTGAATAGGGCGGATGGGTCACTGACGTACGCCTCATTCATCGTTTCACATCTCTTTGACCTTCTCCATGATCTCGTCGTCGGAGATGTCTTATTTGTCTTTGCCAAATTCGTATTAAGACAAGAAATCCAGGAAGTTGGGGTCAATGGTGGTTCGGATACCAGCTAACACATTCTCGAATGGCTCATTGGTCCACCGACAACGTTCCCGCACACGCTCTTCGTACTGACCCCGGGCCCGACGTAACTGTACGAATGCCGTTTGGCGCAATGTATTCGTATACTGGCTGCGGAACAGACATGTTCACATCATCGTCCGTCGCTAGACAGATCCGCGACATCTTTGTTGTTTTGCCTACGCTTCTGCGAAGTGCTCGCAACTAAAGTATTCTTTGTAGTCTCTTGTGCTGTTCAATGCAAATGCAGTAGTGTTTCATTTGCTCTCTCTCCTCATGTGGGCTACGGAACGTGACTCTTCGCAACCGGCGGTTCTGGCGGACCGCTTCCACGAACCGGTTACCCAGTGTAAGGTGTTGGCAAGTCTGATACCTGGACATCCATTCACATCAAGTAATATTTGTTTTATTACTGATAAATATAAAGTAAGTAATATACAAAGATGGCTTACTCACCTGAACAATACTTCGCTAACAAAGAGCGAATTAAGGCTGCGCAGAAGCGCTACTATCAGTGCACACGTGAAACTGGACTGTCGTATCAAAGGAGCTACGACGATAAGAATGGAGAGCAGATCCGTGCTCGCAAGCGTAAGCCCAAAACCGAACTTAGCAAATTTGGAACCGAACTTAATTAATTATTTGTTTTCTGAGATAAAAGTATAGTCAATGACAATGGCTTAAAACCTCCAAAAAAAGGTATAAGCCAAATATTTGAATTAATTAATTATGAAATTTATTGTATAGTAGTAAGATATAAAGTCGATCCTGATACAATGGAGTATCACTACCAGGTCTCATGTATCAAACATGCTTTGACAACCTCCAATGTCCCTCCAAGAAGTATCCGCAAGCGTTTCGATTCCCCAGTAAGCGTATGATTGGCTACAAAAGTCAGGATATTGAGGAAAAGCGCGAGTTTGGTATGACGCTAGGGCACCTAGATAGACTGTTAAATCAACAGAAGTACCTTTGGTCTCTGCTAAGGTCCTCTGAGTGCTGAAACTGCCTCAGCTGATCGAATTAATAATAATCTTGGCCACATCGACGGCAACGTCTTGATTAGTTGCATTTCGCGCAACGCCGCTCGTAAGGATATGTCTCTCAAGGGTTTCCGCACAAGAAGCTGCTTGACTTCAACTCAGACAGACTGGTCTATTCCATTGACAAGGAGGAGAAGGAGCTATACGGTAAGATGAAAGCTAACATTGCTGGTGGTCCGTCAATTATCTTCAATCGCTACGCCAAGCGCAACGAGACAAAGATTCGCGGTGTAAAAAGATAATTGGGTACGATGCTAATGCTCTGTATCTCTGGGCGCTCGGTAATGACATGCCGTGCGCCTTATACCCAGGGTAATTATGTTTTAAGCTTCGTATGGACTTTAATAATTACCGAGACAAGCCTCATCAAGACAAGTCGTGTGTTCTGAACATACATGCAAGGAATCAAGGTGGTACACAACCATGTTCAAATGACGCGTCACTTCACTTCATGTGTTCGTCTGCACCATGCAAAAGGCATGACTCTGCAGTCGCAAGTTCATACTCAATTACGATGCCGCTTCCGCAAATTTCTTCTTGGACTTGAAATTTGATTTCTTGCCGAATCTTGCCAGGACCTGTAACCCCAACGACTGAAATAAACTATATTCTTGTCCTTTCCACGATTTTACAGCGATCCAGTGACTTGAAGCAGTTTACCTTTATCCCAGAGGTATTGATATTACCGCTCATTGTTTTTAGATGCACAAACACATTCTTCCAAGCGTCGTGCTTGTCAATTCTGACTGAAAGTTCTGCCTCATGAGATATCGTTAGTTTGATTCATGAGCGGATGGATATGGTCGGCCGAGGGATCCGGCTAATCCACCAATCGATTAGACAGTTGCAGAACGGTATTGAAAAGCGTTAGCAGACATCATGCCTTAAGGCGATACACATCGAAACACGACGGCTTTTGCACTATAAAATTAGGTGGGCGGGGCTTAATCCAAACGATACAATCAAGCAGTGGCTTACACATATCAGAACGGTCAACTATGGATCCTTGCTTGATACTCAACTACTTGAACGCTATCGACATAGTCGAGAGAGCGTTTCCGGGCGAAAATTAAATTATTTGCCGGCAAAGCCCGTCATCCAGCGGCACAAATATTACTACTGATCGAGCTGATATCACTTCATACGCAAGCGACGAGCCAATTGAGACGAAACACGAGGTAGAAGACGTGATCAACAGCGCTTTTGAACTTCGAGGCTATTTCAGAACTCTGAAAATATGTACGATTGTTCGGCAATCGATTACTCAAAATTTGAATTAATTAAAAAATTTGAACACATCCACACCATCGTTTATTGCTGAAACCATCAAAATGTTGCGTCGCTTCTTCACTTCTTCAGCCGCGCATATTTCGGTGCAGCAGCGCGTACGGACCCAACTTTCTCTCCTTTCGAATGCATCACGCTCACCTGATGCACGCATCGTGTTTGTACCTCGCTCGACTGCTGCGGAGGATCTACAGAGTTCGCTGCCATTCCCCGTATCCGCCGCCGCTCTCCGAGACTTCAAAGCCAAACCACAGGAAAAACTGTATTTGTACCCAAGTAAGGACGACGATGTCTATAAAAATCAGCGCCTTCTTCTAGTGGGTCTTGGAGATGCTGAAAAGGTGTCACCCACTATCCTACGCGATGCCACCCACGGAGCACTAAGTATGCTAAAGAGCAAGCACGTCAAGAGCGCGGTGATACAAGTGCCTACGCTCAAGGGATGCTCTTTAAATACCGCACGTGTCGTAGAGTTGCTCTCTCAAGCTTCAATGCTCTCCAATTATCAGTTTGATCAATACATGGCAGACGCCACAGACTCGTACGGAGATACAGAGCTGCGTCTGCCTCTCGAGCAGATTTATTTGGATACATCAGACGAGTTTGAGAAGGTTTGCAACTTTTTAAAGTATTCTTGCGATGAAAAAATGCTCATTGGTATTGGAACTATGTAGAATATGACCGAGCAGGCAATAGTGGGTGAAGAGACGATCTTTGCTAGAAACCTTGGTGAGATGCTTTGTTTTGATATAGCACGGCTATGTTGGAGTGCTGACTGCTATACTCATTATACTGTGTAGGCAACGAGCGTTCGCACATTGTGGACCCGGCGTTTATGGAGAAGGTAGCTCGTGCGTCGACTGATCTTCCCAATATTTCAGTCCGTGTTCTACAAGAAAATGATTTGAAGAAGGAAGGTATGAACATGTTTTTGAGCGTCGGTCAAGCGAGTGTTTGCTCTCCCCGCCTCGTTATTCTTGAATATTGTGGAAATTCAAATTCCGACGAAAAAATTGCGTTAATCGGCAAAGGAATAACTTTTGACACAGGCGGCTTGAATCTTAAGCCGACCGGTTCTATCGAGGATATGCACATGGACATGTGTGGCTCTGCTGCTGTACTTGGAGCCGTTCGCGCTGCTTCACGCCAGAATCTAAAGGTCAATATAATTTGCGCTCTAGCTTTAGCTGAAAATGCGATCGGATCCAAGGCCGTTAAACCGCTAACAATTGTCAAATCTCACAAGGGCATTACTGTGGAAAATAATAACACGGATGCCGAAGGTCGTTTAGTGCTTGGTGATGCGATGTCCTACATTCAGAAGGAGTACAAGCCGAATAAGATAATTGATGTGGCCACACTGACTGGTGCGTGCATGATTGCATTAGGTGAGCACTGTGCAGGTTTATTTTCCAATTCAGACGATTTAGCTCATAAGCTAGAGAAAGCCGGAACGGAATGCCACGAGCGCTGCTGGCGCCTACCGATACTTCCTGAGCATACAGCCGCTCTCAAAGGTTCACAGTCGGATTCTCGCAGCACCGGTCGTTCTCGCCACGGTGGAGCCTGCACAGCTGCAGCCTTTCTCCAACAATTTGTATACGAAGGTGTTGACTGGGCACATCTTGACATTGCCGGGCCATCGAATTACAATGCTGCCAAATCGTATTTCCCTAAAGGTGCTACAGGCTTTGGGGTTCAGCTGCTTTACACATACTTGAAAGATCTTGAACAACAGTAGAAGTATTATCGATTCGGTAGAGTTCTTATGTCAATAGAGGTGGCACATGTAAAAATTTCGAATGGGTGAGATCAATGAGTACTATGTGTACAGATTCCATACGAACACGCAGCCATCATCACCAGCAGAGACAAGCTGGCGATCATCGGGACTAAATGCTAAATGAAGGACATTCCCGGAGTGACCTACGCCGTCCGTGATTAATTGACTGGTATTACGGTTCCATAACTTCACCAGTCGATCTTTTCCGCCTGTGGCAAATACTTCCAAATCATGTGCCATAGCAATACACGTGATTTCTTCTTTGTGAGCTTCTGGGATCACTGTGAAGGGGTTGTCGATGCGCAGATCCCAATACGATATACGCTTGCCCTGACCAGCACTGAGTACAAGATTCTGGTCAGTAAATAGCGCTACAGCGTTTATCCCGCCTATCCGCTGGAGGTGACATGAAACTTTTCGCTCGTTGCGTAGATCCCAGCATAGCAGCCTTCGATCTCGGCCGCCCGAAATGACGTGCAGATCGTCCTGATACAAGGCCAGACTCGTTACGGGCATAGTGTGCTCTTTCAGGTGAGAAATCAGGTCCCGCTTGCGAATATCCCACACCCGTACTTCACCCATGACTCCTGCTGACACGATCAAGCGCTGGTTGTGGCTTAATTTAAGTGCTGTAACCCCACCAACGTGTGCATTATCGATGGACCAGATAAAGGTACCAGATTTACTGCAATGAGATCGAATGCATCCGTCAGTCCAGCCTGACAGAAGTACATCTAGCGAATAATGGAGGGATGTAGGAGCGCCAGCACCGCGGACGAAGCAGCATGTAGCGACTGTGTAATCAGAGGCATCCCATATGCGAATAGTGCAGTCCTGAGAGATAGTGGCAAATCGATCAGACACATTTGAGGTGTATGCAACCTGCACTACAGCATTCGAGTGGTTTTCGGACAACAACTTCTTTTGCAAACTGTGGTGCGAGTTACCAAATGCTAGACGCACCACAAATATACTTCCAGCTTGTGTGCCAACCACGACTTCATTTTGAGCAGCGTGAAGGGCTATGCCCACAACAGCACTGTCAAAAGCGAGGTGGCAGGTATCTACGAAATCGTGTCTATAGTGCAAAAAACTTCCGTTACCACCTCCTACTAAAAGTCCTCCTTCAAAATACACAAGGGAATTGACACCACAAGAACATGCTGGTACCACCTTGATAAGCTGTCGAGTTTTCACATTGACAACACAGAAGTCGCCACTGGAACTACCAGCTATCAGGACCTCGCGGTCGGGTGAAAATTGTACGCATGTATAATCACGAACGAGAGACTGTTCGATTCTGTACTGCGTGAGGTCGCCTCTAACTGGATCAAGCACCCAAAGCTGCAGCAAGCGATGTCCAACCGTTGCAAACTGATAGTTGGGTGTATTACGTCGCTTGACATCGCGTGCCATGCCTCCAAATGCAACTGCAGAGACAATATTAGACATTTTTTGGTGTGCTGCGCAAATATAACCAGTCTGGACGTCCCAAATGTACATCCGTGGTCCTTCTTCTGGAACACCTACTGAGCAAAGCAGTCGCTCATCATCCGAGAAGGCAAGTGCAGCGACACCGGCGTCATGTTCTGACAGCCGGAAAGCAAGTCGCCGAGAAAAGTAGTCCCAAACGAGGACATCTGCTCGCTTACCACGCTCACCCGATGCCAAGATTCTACCTGAAGGAGATAATGCGATGCATGAAACGTTGTCATGATGTCCGCGCAAGAAAATCTGGTTATGCGCGTCTTGAAAAGGTGTTAGCAAGATGACTCCGCCAGCAGGATACACGTAGTCTTGGCCTGAAGGGTGATAGTAAATTGAGTTTGGCACCGCGGAGAAGCCGATGGTGTGCTCCAACACGAGGCTAGCAGAAAACTTAGACTGCTGTTCAAACGGTCTTTGAGGCTCACTTTTGATCGAAGTGAAATCTTTTCGATAAGACTTACTATCGTTGAGAGAAACACCTTCATCTTTACATTCATTGTTGTCGCGAGCATAGTGCATTTTGTCAAGAAATTCGATTTAATGTGGTCGTAATGAAGAGACGATTGATTGAAAAAGCGTAACCACAACATGTGTAAAAACAAGAATGTAACTCCACGATTGATTCTCGGAGGCGAATCGTTGCAAGCTCTGTTGTGGAGTCGGCAAAGAGTCAAATAGTGTTGCTACGGACAAAAACACGTTTCAGCCATGTCAACTGAGGACCTCAGTGCCAATTGAAGATTAGCTTCCTCAATGAACAGTACACTTTCACATCTCTTTGATCTCACACGATAATTGTGAGGTATGAGGAAAACTAAATACAGTTTCGGTATAAAAATTGTGCGCTAGCATTCTTGCTGGGTCCCTATTCAGAGTGCTTCATGCTCCGTCAGCACAGATCTGACATCGAGAAAGGTACGATACCTAAAAGATATTGGAATATTGCCCAATGTCAATGCAGATTTATAAAGTTGGGTAATACATCAAGGTTGAGCAATTCTCTACTTTACATCAAGACTTCGATCAAACATCTTACATTTAAATTCTTTCGAAGAAATGGTAATTAGTTCTTCTGAACCCGCAGCTCGCAGTTAAGAAAATAGCCTGATTTGTGTAAGAAAGTCGGGGGCAGCTCGATGGACCGCTTTTGAGTCGTTACCTAAGAATTAAAGAAAATTAGTATGTAGATGATTTAAAAATTAGTATGAGCCGTACCCGGTTCGAATAGTCCTCAAATTCGTCCTCTGTCATAGGCCCATACAAAAGACTCCATTTTCTATCTATAAGCACAAAATAATAGCGTTCGTTCTCGCCGTGCTCGTACCAACCTTCTTCACCTTGTACTGTGCCTGGACAGGCGTTCAGAATGCCACTCGATTTCGAGCTATTGTGAGATTTTTTATTTCCACCACCTAAAAGAGATCGCATTTTTTCTCCTATTTGCCTGCCAAAACCAGATTTGTCTTGTTTGCTCGAAGATATAGAGCCTGATATCCTGCTACCTTCGTCGTTCTTGTGATGCGAAGCTGTTGCAGTCGCCGCAGACTTTTCACTCTGTTCCAATTTCATTTCCTTTCCTTTGTCTCGGTCAACCTCATTCTTACTTGTTAAAACAGTTTCTTTGGCTTTATCCTTCGCCTCAATTTCAAGCTGACCAACTCCTTTTTCAGCTTGTTGTAAAGCTGCTGCCAGCTTCTTCTTTTCAGCCTTTCGAGATGAAAGAGCCTCTTCCACAGGTTCCACCACAGCGTCGCCTTTATCACGCCGAGTTTTGCTACGTCTTGAAGAACGTTTGTGATCGCTGCCATCATCATCATCGTTCTCACTTGAGCTCCGTCGATGTCTATGACGATGACGTCGACGTCTTCGTCGATTGCTCTTATCCGAATCATCTGACGATGTTGATTCGGACTCGCTATCACTAGCCTCAAATCGATGATGGCAACGACAGCGGCCATGTCGACCACAACGTTTACCATCGTAATCACTTGACTCACTGCTATCAATGTCATGATGCCGTTTTTTCTTCGAGTGCTTGCTTCTACCATGTATTCGTTCCGTATCTGTCGGCGCACCTCGAGACCGGGTACTTAAGTGCCCCATCTCGGCCTTGTCTCGATGAGAATTATCGCTTGCTTCATATTCTCGAGTCTTTCGTTCCTTTTTATTTCGCTTGCGTGGAGTCTCGTAAAATTCATTGTCATCGTTAGAAGCTTCTTTATTCGTTGATCGTGCAGTCGCTAATGCTATTTCTGCATCTTTTGCCTCTTGCTTCTCCTTCCGGCGCTTCTCTTTATGCTGATGCCTTTTGCGTTGCGCTTCAACTGCTCGCTGAGCTTCTTCATTTGTGCCGCTACTGCCGGAAAGACCATTATCGACTTCTAGAAATTCCAAGTACGATGACGGTATGTAACCCGAATTCCCTTCTGCTTCGCATTTCAAGTATCCTGTACGCTTGGTTGAAAGTACCTTGACAATTTCTCCTGTACGCAAAGACAGTTCTTCATCTCCAAAAGCTTTCCGATCTCGCAACACACGAGCCATGGTAATTGTATCCTCACCATTCGCACTTTTCAAATTCATACTAAGTCTATCTGATGCTAGTGCTGACGCACGCACTGTCCCCCTGCCTGACTCAGTATTATCCACATATGTCACTCCCATCCGGCTTTCAGTGCTCGAGCCTCCACTAAGTGGCATATTAACATACGAGTCGATCGAATCATTTGATAAGCCATGAAGCTGACGCACAGCTTGCTTCGGCTTGGTAGTAAGCGCCGGCAACATTATCCGTTGCACTTTACGTATAATTGCTACACTACTTTGCTGTTTGATATGTTAAGAAGCAAATGCCCCATTCAAACTCTACACCATGGGCTGTTATCACAAAAATAATCTGCAGACTACGTATCTAAATATGTCATGAACGAGATTGCGGTTAACTCAAAGAGTTGGGATAAGAGATGCTGCAATGTGTGACGTGTGAGAAATGCAATAGATCAATAATTTAATGACCTGTTGTGTGTGAGGCACACTAAACTGTAAGTGATGGAAGTAATCTCGAGTAACTCAACTGCAGCCAGCGGGTCAGATTGTTCGTTACAGTACCGCGCGTTTTGCGTGCGTTCTGGTAATGTCGTCGCGCTTGGAATGCAGAAAAATTTGATTTTAAACTGCGCCGGTATGACATTATTTCGGGTTTTTCAGGGTAGTCTAGAGGTTTTGGGATTCCATCCGCCGCTGGGCGTGTATTTCTCGCTGCATTCACCCAAATGGAACAATTTGCTGATGATCGAAGGTCGATCTGGCAACGAAAGGACTCAGGCACCTTTCAGCCCAGCGAGTGCCAGTCTGTTGCAATTGATGGAGCCAAATCTGCCTGCAGAAGCTGTGAACGAGGACGAAGAGATTGCTGCAGACAATCTTGCAATGCGACTCGTAAACGATTATCCTATTGTATTAGTGCTCCGAGCCATTCCTCTTACATATGGCAATGTAATGAGCTTTTATGAGAATACAAGGCCAACGAAGTCGCCAGCAATCCTCCCAGGGTTTAAAATTATTGTTTCGAAATCAAACCATAACATGATGAGTGCTCTTACTAAAAAGTTTGACAACAAAAGTGCTACATCTCGAGGGATAGATTCTCCGCATGAGAGTAAGACCTCGGAGCGAGTTTTGGCCGAGCTTGTGGTAACAGAATCTTTTAAGACTGTGAACATTACAGAGCCCTGGCAAGCCACGGTGAATACACTTGTATCAAGTCTGTTGGCAAAGGGAGCGACGGCTTCGCAAAAGATTGTTGTTTGTGGTGGTAAGCGTGTGGGAAAATCTACCTTTTGCAGGTACCTAGTAAACACATTGCTTTCAAAGTTCAAAATTGTAGCATTTTTGGATACTGACTTGGGACAAAGCGAGCTTACCCCGTCGGGTCTTGTGACACTTCATGCGCTAACTACTCCACTGCTGGGACCGGGATATTCTGACATGAAGAATCCAATTCGTTCATTTTTTTGTGGTAATACAAACCCAGGCAATGATCCATTGTACTTCATAAAGGCAATTAAGAGCTTGCTACGATTGTACGACATAAAGTGGTCAAGTCATAGTAGAAGCTCGAGCTCCAGCGACAAACAGAGTGTTCCGCTCATTATAAACACCGATGGATGGATCAAAAGCATGGGGCACGACTTGCTTTGCAAAGTCATCCAGGAAACAAACCCCGACCACGTTGTGCAGCTTGTGGCTGCAACGAAGAACAAACAGTTCGATGTCCCAAACGATGGCACGTGGCGCATCCATGTTGTTCCGCCTTGGGATCCTGTTGGCCTGACACAACCACCGCGAAGCTCAAAGGAGCTTCGTGCTTACCGATTACACACATACTTTCTGTCTCGCGTCCCCTGTGCTCTTCCGCGATCTTTACTGCAGAACCTTCAAGTACTATCCGAGAAAAATCGCGTCGATAGCGATATTTACCGCGCGTATGCTCAACTTTCACCTTTCGTTGTCTCGTTTGACAGCGTCGATGTTGCCTTTGCGGGCTCCTCCGTGGCACCAAGCCAGCTTTTGTTTTCGCTCAATGCCTGCGTTGTTGGTCTTTGTGTAAACCCTAGTTACAAACCTATCAAATATGACAAGTGCGAGCAGCGTGAAGGACCACCTCGTATCGTGTTACAGCCAGTTCATGCTCCATGTCTGGGTGTTGGCATTATTCGCGCTGTGGATGCTGAGAAACGTCTTCTTTTTCTTCTTAGCCCCCTACCGCTGTCTGCGTTAAAACGAGTTAATCTCTTGGTTCGCAGCAGCATGCTACTCGATGGTATCATGTCATCTGCACACCAGAGTGCTCAGACTCCATACGTTGTTACCGATGTCGTTGCTTCGGAGGGCACGGGGTCTGCCGTCATGCAAAGTCGCTACAACTTAAAGCGGAAGCGTGATGGCAAGTAAATATGAATAGTTAGGAGCTTTAAAGTTTTTGACCATTTGTATGATGTGAATTTCATCAATCCTGTCACTCGCTCACGACACAAATCTCGTTAAATACAGCGTCCCGGTAACGAAGTAGACACTCGTCCATGTCGGTCTTTGATTTATGCCACATGTCGAGCAGCTGGTGTTCCTCGCTGCCAGCGCACAATATTTTGTAGCAGTCGCCATCCAGATAAAGATGACCTGCTGAGCTTTGACCAACGTGTTGTTTCGAAATAGAGGCTTTCGCTTGATTGCCTGCTTCGCTCTAGTTCACGGCTGAAAAGCGACGATAAGAAAAAGCTAGTGAACAACAGCATCCGGAGCAAAGCTCCCGCGTCAGTATAACAATAGCGCGAGTCATCAATGATGCAACTTTTACGGCTTAGCTGGACTGAAAGATCGAGGCGACGGTTTATTTGCTGAGTAAGGCATGATGTGTAAGACTGTCCATCTTTGTTACATTTATAAATCAGGCTACCACACGGCATACGAATCTTCTACTCCCGTAAAGAAAAGTCAGTGTCTGCAGCCTCAGCGTGAGGTCTCGCAATTGCGCCCATATGGTAGTCGCCGCACGAGACCCTGTAATATAATGTCAAACCAAAATAAATCAAACGATACCGCTGTTACTAAGCGTTGATTAATGTACAAGCGCAAAACGTACGAGGTAATCTGAACACCGGCCAGAGCCTGAATATGCACAGGTTGTAGCTGGTTCTTGCGATCGCCATGGCCCAAACAATTAGAGCTACCCTTACCGAAAGTAAAAACTTTACCGGTGTCAGTCAATGCCGCTGTGTACTGTCGCCCGCAAGCCACCTGTACTATATTATGATCGTTCACGGCTGTCATTTCGTGTGGTTCAATCCAGATCTTAGCTCCCCACATATACAACCGTCCGTCCGCTGTCACAGCGGCAGCGTGGTCGTAGCCCGCCGCAATCTGCTTTACAGTGACACCGTCAAACGCTTCAATCAGCACAGGAATCGACTCGATGTTGTATACATCCATTGCAAGACCACCGCCGATACCCAATTGATTATCTACAGCACAATATTGAATGTACCAGCGACCATGCCTTTCAAAAGCATTACGTACGACTATTGCCTCCCCAGCTGTATAGCTCGCCCTTGTCTGTCAGAGCAAATGAAAAATCCCGTCCAGCAGCAATCGATACAATATTATCCTCTGAGAAGAATTCAATAGGCTCGGGCACCTCACAAGTGTCTGACTCGCCGTTGCCCAGACGGCCGTACTCGCCATTTCCCCAAGCCCATATCTCTCCGTCTTTCGTAAGTGCAACCGTATGGAACTCACCACATTCCACTGTTGCCATAGGTACACCCTGATCGACCAGTGTCGTCAATAATCGAGGCAAAGGCTCATCCTTTCCACCAGCGTGGCCAAGACCACCAGCTCCCTTCATAGTGGATCCTCCCCATCCCCACGAGTACATCTTGCCGTCTTCATCCACGGCCGCGGTAAAGTAGTCACCACAAGAAACATCCACAATTTTGACGCCTCGAAGCGCTTCTACCTCACGAGGGAGAACTTCGATCTCGCTGCTCTCACCGAGGCCTAACTTACCGTATTCGTTACTTCCCCATACATAAAGTTTGCCAGTTTCATCAACTAAACACATCAGCAACCTCAATTCACCGTTAATTCAAAATAATATACGAGGGACTTACTGGCAGCGCTGTGGCTTGCACCGAAATCGACAAAGGTGATAGCTTTTCCCTCTAGAGCTTCAACCAATTTAGGTGTCAGCTCTTCGTAAGCATTACGCATGCCTGACTTGATTACCGGTCCATGACCAAGCTGACCTAGTGTACCATTGCCCCACGTGTACACTGTATTAAACAAGGCGTCAGACATTTAAGAAATGTAGTGCCTGGATGTGTATTCCTACCGCTGGATTGTGTTGTGTAGAGGGATTTTTGCAGCTGTAGCACGCTACGAGTAACTTCACCTTTGACAGCAATAGTACGTCGCGTCGCCGCGCGGAAAGCAGTGAGCAAGACCTGCACCATGATTAATCGCACGAAAACTTGCCTTGTACACCACGCACAACTATATTTCTAGTATACTTATTAGAAATATTTCTTTGGAGACCAGTAAAAGTGTAATTAATGGACATTATTAATGTATAACGACTGAATACTTGATATGAAAATCGCAAATCATGATGAAGTATTATAATGCACAAATAGTTGCTATGATTTACTTAGTAAGAACCAATTTCTTAGAAATACTGACTCTTCAAATCAGGGTGGTTATCTTGAACACGCCCACATTCTGCTCGCCTCCCACCAGTGGTGCACAGGCGAAAATAATATCTGAGATTGGAAGAAGCGATATGAACATGTAGTACTTTCCATTCCCGAAACTTATTTTGATAGAATCAATTTGTCAAGACGCTCAACGTCAATCAATGGCTTACTTGACATAACCTATTTTGCCGCATTTGTGTCCAGCACTTTCTATAACGGTGACATCTCTCGAAAATGCTGAGGATAGCAATGGTGCTGGCTGGCTTTAGTATACTAGTCAGTGGAACGCTGATGTTGTTCGGTAACGCGTCGATTCCAAGACCATTTGCTATGGCAGGGCCTGCAAATAGTTCATTTAACGTTTCCGAGCCTCGATTCGACTCTATAAGAGATAGCAATGCCGTTGCCAACACTGTTGATGTAAGGTATAATGATGCTTCACATCGCGACGCAGAGAACTTAGAGGAGAACCGAATCCTAAATTTTGATGGCAATTACGATGATATGCATGATGAAGAATTTGCAAATACATTTGCAGTGATGCATGCGGTGCGTAAACTCGGCAGCGTACTCAACGCAACAAGTACGATCAAACAGACTTATGCCAACTGGGTTGGTTCCGCATTCAACGCTTCTCGATCTTCCCGAGCGTGCTGGCGTAAAGCTCACTTTGCAAAGAGATGTCCTCTGGGATTCGAAAGAAGGTTTGGGATCTGCTGGACGCAATGTCCATATTCGTATCCAATTGAGTGTGGGCTTGAGTGCATCAAACAGAATGATGATTGTGGATCTGCCATTTTTTACAAGATTGCGGTTGTTGTCCAGACAGCGATATCGCTTTCTGGGTGGAGTATCTACGGTGACATGACAAAGTGGTCAAGAAGTGTTCAAGTTGCGGTTAAGTGCGTTAAATATATGATTAGCATCACAAAATCTCTGGTCCGATATATTCGTTTCATCAAAGTCTATCACCCAGAAACCACTCAAGACAAGATTCTCTCGGTTTTGTACCAGGCTGACAACATTATTATTGATATTCCAGTGACAATAGCCTATTGCATTGGAAAGCGGGCGTCTGACGAGGTTAAATTTGCCGATTCAGTAGTTACCACTGCAGAATACATTATAATGGACGTCGTCTCCAACGGGGATTTCATCTTGTCCAGCTGGGATGAATTTACGAATTTTATGAAGAGGATTGCACTAGGAGATTCAATGAAGGAGCTAAAAGGATCAGATATCAAGTCGTTAAAGACCGCCCTCAAGTCCAACACAACGTGCGGCTTTGACTTGAAGCGTTTGCTGGATCGTACGTGGATGACTGTAGCAGAACTGCGCTTGCTTAATCCTGAGATCTCAGAGGACGACATTCGCGTTGTTATGAGCCAATCGAATCTCATGCTAAATGACATTCCTATCGCAACAAATAATTGCATGGCCGAGCTCCTGGTGGGTTCGGATGAACACACGGCATATGCCACAAGAGATACTCTTCGAAAGACATTCGCAGCCATCGTAGACGATTTAATCAGTTCGGGAACCAGTGATAATGGCACCATGCTCAATTTTTATAATTACGCTTTCAAAATAGCAGACCGCGCGATTGGATTTTATGCCATTTGGGACTTCTTCTACGTATCTTCCGTCGTTTCCCAGTATGTTCAGCCCATTTGTGGCCCCACCCAGCTCATTGGTGAAATTGACGATGGTGACTTGACGAAAGCATTAGCTATGTCCATTGTGCAAGGAGCTTTCAACAACAGCAGTGGTATGTGGACAAAAGTTGGCGACGGTAGTGTCAAGATTACATTCAAAAGCGTTGATAAAAAAGATGTTGCTGTCAATATCAAATCTGGAGGTGACAAGATTGACGAAGTCATTGTTCGCGCGGGCGAAACTGTAGTTTGGGAGTCAAATGTATCAGCGTTGGGAGGAAAGACTTTATATTTGGATCGGTGGCGTCCGGGTTTTCTCGATTTTCCAAGTACAGGAGGCGGCTCACTACTTCTATGGGTCCCTCAATCGGCGCATAACGGTAGTTTGCAACTTACTGCGATGCTAAATGCGAGCTGATGCATGTTAGACTCAAATAAATTAAGAGTTAAGTGAGGATTGTCACAGGAATTTCACATGTAATATGATCGAGTCTGGCTCTTCAACCTGTGCGTTGGTGTATCCGTGTTATGTCAATGCAGTCTAATAAACTTTCGCATAAGGCTTTATTAGCTCCATTTCTTGGAGCTCGCCAATACTAGATACTTACTTGCTACCTAGAAAATGGAATGAAAAGCATCGAAATAATATAAGAAAAATTTCGAAAGGTGACAGGCTTTAAAAATCTCAACAAAACCAACGATACCGGGTAATACTGTAAGGAAGGGCCTACATTGTATGTACCGTAGCTTGTGACTGAAGACAACAAATGCTGTCTTTAGTGCGAGGAAAGGTTTCTGGGTCACAACGTATCCTTCATCAAGCGCTCCAAGTATATGCGTGATTTCACGTCCGATTCCCTCTACAGTCATCTCACATAGTAACCTGTGCCGTCACAGTGGTACCGTACACCCATTAAAGCTGTCGAATATGTGTATTGAACAAGTTCTGGTGAAACTTTAAAAGCATCTCACCTCAGTTAGAACTAAGAACTATCGTTGGATATCGGAACATCAGATATGCTGTGTCAGAAATTGACGAGCTCAATGCAGCAATCATTCCGATGCAAACGTCATCTGTAACGGGATTACACGTACCCTGATAACAGGGTTGTGTGTCACGCGAGATGGGTATGTGACTGCACCCAAACAAGGATACGGTATGTGGCTGGGTAGCCACTAGTTACGCATGTATTTGAATTTTACTACATACATTTAGGAAAATCTATACATCTAAAATTTGGCGGCTTTGCCACAGATAAAAATAAATAAAAGTCAATTTTGGATTTTAAACGGAATAGTTCATTAGCGTCATCGAAATGCCACACCAAAATAGAGTAATGCGTAATGTGGAGGACGACGGGTCCGTCTGCCTTCCGTCAACGCCGCCCAATAGTCCCACTCAGGCCTCCTCGACATTGAGCATTGTTCGAGCACGGAAATTGCCGCGCAGCCCACATAAAATATTTTGACTCTTAGAGCCTGCGTTGAGCAACGCGCAGTGGGTAGCAACACCGAACATCCCTCGGGTGCTAAATCAAGACACTGAAAATAAGCTCAAATTAGAGGCCTTTTGTATTTACCGTCATGGGGTCCAACTAGCCATGTCACTCGCTTGTAAGCGCAGGAGCCGCTGCGACTCATAAAAATCAGGATGTGATAATGAATTTGGCTCATTGGAAGCCGCTTGCCGCACCGCGGCGGAGCCTTTAAATGTTTGTGTACGGGCCTTTTGTTTGATGCGAGAGCAGATTGTGCGCTCGAAAGCTGGTGCAAGAGCGCAACTTGACGCGCCAGGTCTATGGCTCAATCAGCAGCGTTTCAATAATGTAAAGGCGCTGTTCACACAGCCCCTCACACCTACACACACGCATGCGCGACGATCAAGCAAACGTGGAGGGAAACAAGTAGTCCTGACTTTGAGGGAGGAGAAGCATCTTAATGGTTTGAATGCAAAAATGCAACTGAAAAATATAAGCTGATGGTTCGTAGAGCTACAAATCAAAACACCCCGAGGGCCCCTAAAGATTTCACGATTACAATCTCGGGCTCCTATAAATCTGATTCCTGCAATCAAGAGTGTTTTGAGGTTGGACCCCAGATTGAGCTTTGGGTGCACGGAGCTTAAAGGTCAAGAAGATTTATTCTCAACTTTTGCGGAAAGATCCCAGCAGATGTGACTGGCTTATGCCACTTACTTTAAAAGACATAGACACGTCATTCTCATCACCAGTGCAAAACCTCAACTTTAAACCAGCATCCTGTATCACCCAGCATGTTTTAACTTTTGACCCATTACATTACATCAGTGCCCTCTATGATGACTGTGCCAGTGCAACTATGCCCCGACGGTAGTGCGATGACGATCCCGCCGGCCCACGGTCCATTCCACTTGGAAATAGAGGATTTCTCGCTCATTGAGAAATACTTGTGAAGGACGCCCCCAGAGGCTGGCATTCGATAGCCCTTTCGGTAATGGCAACACGTCGACTAACTCAGTGACTCCCGACAGGTGGCCGATTTCGAGATGAGCCATACCTCGGATGCGTGCGCTGAGCCACGCATCAGATGAAGTAACTCTAGGGCTCAGTCTTCTGTCGCTGTCATAGTGAAAAAGGCGGTTTAGCTACAGGTAGCGGTTGGTAGGTAATTTAGTCTTTACAAAAACGACTGGCTCGTAAAAGCGGAATAGTGGTCTTGCTTTACTAAGCTTATGTTTAACGCAGTAGGTGCTAGAAGTCTATTTGGAATATGTGGAGTGCAGCTCAATCTCTTTATGCCTACAACCGTAATGAACTTGATGTGGTGTACCCTTGAATGTATGGGCGGGTCACACAAGATACATAGGTGTGGATTACACAGGTTGGTGTAACTACACGATAGTATGGCTACACCGTGACAAGAAGCCACTACGAGGCAGGACTGTCAGTATCAATTTGGTTTTACTATATTAAACGGGTATAACCATATTAATTGGGAAACCTAGATATTGGCGGCTCTGCCGCAACCCTAATACAGTTTCAGTTCTGATCGGGAGAGGGTCTTTTCCTTGGTTGAAGTTTTAAGTACTCTTGGAGGCGATCCGCTACACTCGTACTGGCTCTTGTAAGGAAAGTAAGGTCGGTGACCTTAGCTTAGCTTCCTCTGAGCATAGAACTACGACAACCCCGCTGCATGGTGGGATCCCACCTTATTAGACGCTACATATGCAGATGAAATAATAGTATAAAACATCATACACCAGAGCATAATGTGTCTGTTTCCAGTAGATACGTTCTGCTTTTGCATATTCCTGGCTCCCAGTCATAGCGTCACGAACTCGCGCACGTCGACAAATCTCATCGTGATAAATCCGTGATTTCTTTAAAATGCGTAGCAGGACTGATATCGATGAGTCTGATTGTATCGTTGGCCTACCACGAATATATTTCATGGTTGACCAAAAAAGCACCGGGCAAACCAAGCAAAATAGAATGGAGTAAAGCCTGGAGCGGCATGCATTGTGTTAGTCAGCGCAAAATCATTTCATGTGATCAGTTCCTTTACTGTGTTGATGCTTTTCAAGCCAGTCTCAGTGAGACAATTCATGCTTGACGTCGAGAAGTACAAAGAAAGCCACAAACGTCATGGTGACCAACCATCACCCTCACTTTAAAATGCTTATAGCCTAGCTCGTCTTCAGGAGACCGCTATTACAGCTACGGACGAAGATCTCACTTACCGCAAGGTTGATCTCTCTGTAGTGCACTGCAACGCGCGACCCTACCTCTTCTTCAAGGGAAATATAAGATGATATTGCGCCAGGTCCTAAGCGGCCACAGAAACATGGCGATTCTGCCTAAATGGAAACGCAACAAATCTAAAATTTTGTTTGGTGGATTTCCTCCACTATATTGGATGCTGGTAACAGACGGTATGTACATGCCGCATCTTTTAATATTCAGCAGGAACTAGGTTCATTGAACTGTACCGGAGAAGATCGACTCTTCAAATATATCTTTCGTGGGCTCTACTTGTTTTGGCGGCACGTTGACGCTTTCTCAGAGTCACGGTCTGCGGCTGTCTTAAGCTAGATCTCACACTCTCTCTCGAGCTTCTTCATCGTACGGGACAACATCATACGGTTCAGATACAATGCACTGACTTCAAGTCGAGAGTATCGTTTCCATAAGTGATGCTAGGGATGCTAATTCATCTGCGAAAGAGCTTTTACCATTTGACGGGCTCTTAAAACTGGATCATGGTATGGCTCCAGATAGACAGTGGCTGTGTTCGCATTTTCTTCAGAGTATACTCAATCAATTATTTGCTACGACCACAAACGGTCCGAAACAACTTGACCGCAATTTAGTCTTGTAAACAACAGGTTCTACATGATCAAACAATTTGATCACAGTCAATGCTATTTTTTGCCTACAATATGTTCGTGTGTATTCCACCTGCATTTGGCATTAGCGTATTCCTTTTGATTAATCTGGCCCTCATAGCGCACTTTGCGCACAACGCTCAATTCAAACGATAAATTTAATGATTTTGCTATGAAGTGTAGCCCGGCTGATATTAGTAAGTCGAGTTTGATCGGTAGCACCCACAAAGACCGGAGCCACCTTGTGGCTCGGACAATGACCCGAGGATTACGGATACACAAGAAATTTGGGGGGGGTTAAGCCTGCAGACGCATTCACTGTGTTTTCATCTAGATATCAATGAGTAGGAGCAGCTTACTATACCACAGCAGTATCTCTGTGCACGTGCTTCGGAGAATATCCTCCACAGCGCAATACATTCGATTCGTCTGGCAATTTGTTTGCGGGAGATCGGCGGTTGACGAATCCAGAGCTACTAAATTAAAGTTGACTAAATCATTACCGTAAACGTGGATCTATTTCCTATACAATGACCACCTGCGAGTCATGTTGGCAAGATCACTTATCGAGAAGCAGCCAGGTTGAATCCTGACCGATCACACTATGATAGATGATCAATCTACTACAATAATCACAATACTGGCATCATAACACGTGTCTCTGCTTCGCTCGAGGGCGTGTAACATATCGCTTCTCAAGGACAAGCGCGCGCTCAGAGGCGTTTCTGATCAAGAAAATGCTCTGCTAGAGCACCTTCAGCAGAAGATGTCGGCGTAGACGACGGATTACTCCCCCCAAACCAGGCCGCTCATGGTGTCATCGGAAGACGATATAATTTTTCATATTTCTGTACTGCAACACTTTGCCAAAACTGACAGGCTGACGAAAGATCTCGCCCATCGCGGCGAGGATTTAACCAGTTATCACGTCCCACACGTGCGCAAATATGTATTACTCATGTATACAGTTTGTACCACCAATTTATAGCACCCACCGTGCAATATGTTATATCGCTCTAAGGAAGCCTCGACATATGTCATAGCGATGAAGGTGTACAGCTACTCGCTTTGATAATGCGACTTCTGATTTCTCAAACTCCTTAATCTTAAGGCTTTCACGAGCGCCACACACACCATTATCACGCAACGCTCTATGTCGGCCGACGTGAAAGCACATATGCCACATTAAACCGATCCAGACAAAATATTATTTTAAATACCATATTCGGAAAAGAAGGCCAACCATATTACCTTTATCTTTGAGATATGAGGTGACGACGTCGTTTTGCGCAACGACGCATGACCTGTATTCATTCACGAACGGCTTAGACCTACCTTAAACTTGACGAGGGTGCAAGGACTTCCTTATCATGAACAGCGTAGTTGTTCTCTGCTGCCTTTGGCCGGCAATACTTAAAGGCGATCTGCGTTCATGCTCACTAGCAATTGGTCAAAATTAAGCACTGCAAGTGGATGGTCTCAGATGATGTGGATGAGTCGATCGGGAATCGAAATGGTCAGAATTGGGGCATGCATGATGCTCTTTTCAGTCTTAGACGACTCTTCTACCGCACCCAGCATTTGTAATCTAGTCAAAAAAATTCTTGAGGACCATGCCATGTTTGTGTGAGTTGCGCGCTGCTCGTGCAGGTTTATGGTCAGAACATGCTACTTCCTGAAGTCCCTTTCAGACAGATGCGCTAGCCAACGATAACGACCTATGTATTCGTGGGATCTCCCGCAGGCCCTAATCCCAACGAACCAGCCCAAAAAGGAGAAGTGTCCGCGACTAAAACACGTTAGCTTTAAAGACTAACTGGTTGTAAAGTATACGCTCAAACACCACTCGCAAGTGTTTGATGTGGTTCTCCACATGTTTGATATGCTTGAATACGAATACATGGTCGATACAGGTTTGTGTATAGCTACGATGTGACCGAACAGCTGTGTGACCAACGATTGAATGTCGCTGATGCATCAGGTAGTGTCGTTGACATTACCAGCTATTTTCGCTCGGAACACTCGCTGTAGTAAGAGGGAGTCTCTATCCTTGACGAGAAGGTGGTAATATCCTTTAACTAGTCTAAGCGCAACGATTAAAGAGCAAACAGCATGCCCATATGTGGCATATCCAATCTATGAATTGCATTTGCACCTGAATGGCTCGTCCGGCATATCTAGAGATTATGCAGCGAGGCTGCCGTGGCTTTGCGCTTTGAAGAAGCGTAACTTAGGTCACCGACCTTTCGCTCTATATTTAGAACAAGTACGAGTTTAGCGGATCGCAATCCGCTTACTCCAAGAGTAA